GCGCGGGCCTGGCCCCGCTGCGGCGCGTGGGAGGACAAACAATTGAAGCTCCAGACGTGGGCTCCAGCGCTGGGGAAAGAGGAAAAAAGGGATCCCGCTCCAGAACAAACTTGGCCGGGAGAGCGGCTGCAGCAGGAGCGGGTGGGGGGCTGGGAGCACCGAACCCCCATCTGCAGCGGCTGGGAGGGGGGGTCTTGGGACACGGCAAAGCCACGTAAGGGGACGGAGCGGCTCTGCTGCCCTCCTGCCTCAGTTTCCCCAACGTAACCACCCCAGGACAGGGACATGGCTGCACCATCAGCGCCAAACGCCACTGCTCCAACAGCCCCACATGAACCCAGCAGGTAAAGTCCCGGTCTGGCCCCACGTCCGAAATGCAGCTCGGACCTCAGGGCAGAGCGTGCCCCGACAGTCTCCACTGCTCCCCGGCTGGCACAACAGGGACGGGAGCTGGTCCCTGGGGGACAGGGACAGAGCCCACCGTGGCCACCCCCAAAACGGTGAGGCAGCCCCGCTCGGGTGCCCCATGCACCACGCTCGGCTGTGGCCCCTTGCAAAGCCCCAGCACCCCTCCAAGCACTGCGAATGCTCCGGCATCGCCCTCCAGACCATGGGTGAAAATGCACGCCAGAAATGGGGGGACAACCCCCCTGCAAACCCAAGCGAGGCCCCTTCTGGGGCAGACAGGGGAGAAGGGGTCCTGACACGGAGCAGAGCCACGTGGGTGGCCCTGCCACATATGCCACCGGGGCTGGATGCTGGCTGCCCCATCCCCGAGTCGCGGTGCGGGGCCGGCGGGAGGTTTGGGGGTATCTCTCTCCCTTGCTGGGAATTTCACACCGGTGCGAAAGTGTGCAAAGGGGACGGGTGAGCCCGGCCAGGGCCCAGGAGGACTCGTCACACCGGGGGAAGGGGGCAGGTTTCCCCCCACCAACACACCCTGCCGCGAGGCGCAGGTGGCCCCGGGAAGCCCCGGGGTTGGGTCGGCCGCATCGGCGCACCGGGGCCCTGGCCACGTCACCGAGGGCTGGGAGCAGGCACGGAGCCACCCCCGGCAGGGGCCCGGACCCCCCTCGGCCAGGAGAGAAGGAAGAGAAAACCCAGAGGGGAAGGCGAGTCCCCCCCGGCCGGCACCGGCGGTTTCACTTC